CGGGCGGTGGTCGGAAGAACTCGGCGAGGTTATCCAGAAGTCGAGAGAAACCACGATTAAAACTGGAGTTCAGGACGGTGCTGAAGTCTGGACTGGAGTCACACACACACACACGTCAGAAACACACACACACACACACACACACACACGTCAGAATCACACACACACACACACACACGTCAGAATCACAACACACACATCTACAGGTACACACACACACACACACACGTCAGAATCACAACACACACACACACGTCAGAATCACAACACCCACGTCTACAGGTACACACACACACACACACACACACACACACACACACATCCATGCACACCGGAGCACACATACTCTAAAAGCTTTCTACTACATCCTTGGTGATGCCTTCAGCGTGACTAAGTGTGCGCCATCTCTAACTGTTCTCCAGATAGAGCCATGATTTCCCTTGGCTTCACACACTCGGCTCCCAATCACTCCACACATGTCAGTGCTAATAGCATCTGCTTTGACGCACATGTATGCAGACACACACCCACACACACACACACACACACACCTGTAGATGCTTCAAACAGGCACACATATAACTTCCTACACACAAACACACTGGAGGGCTGTGATTCTCCCTTACACCAGCAATATGCTGCTGTGGCAGCGCATGTGGGTTTGTGGGCGACTGCGAGAGGAGAGGAGTGGTGTTACCTAAAACAAGGCAGACTGGCCGGGGGCCAAATGAGGGAGAGGGAGGCGAGGGAGAAACAGTGACAGAAAGCAGGTGGGAAGGATGATGTTTATGTGGCTGCATGCAAAACAGAGAAAGTGTGTGGAAAAAAAAGTGACAGAAGGGGAGGACAGCAGCAGGGAGGGAGTGGGAGGAGTATTTGCATGTAGAAAAAAACTGAAATTTCCGAGAGTACAGTATATAAAAGAAAGGGTTGGTGGGTATTTAAAATGAAGCTTGGCTGAGTGCTTGACATTGCAGCCTTTTAATTTCCTCTTTAAAACGTTGCTGTCAGTGTTTGGCATACAGTCAGAATATGTGAGCTGAACTATTTGTTGAATATTTGTCTGTCTCTGTGTGTGTGAAAACTCTGAAGTTCAAATGAGTTTGTGAGTGTGGATGTGATTTAATGCATTTTTGTGTGTGCATGCACACATGCAGAAGCTCGCCTCTGGATTTAGAAAAGCAATTGGGTGTAAATACAGCAGGAGTGGAGTTAGCAGCAGGGGCAGGGGTGATTCACACATCGCACAGGAAAAGAGTTAGACAGTGCCTTAAGGAGCTTAGATGGGGGAAAGTAAAATACATGAGGGGGGGGGTGAAGGAAGAAACGGTGGGGATAAAGGGAGAGAAGCAGAGCTGGAGGGACTGAAGGAAATGGAAAGAGGGTAGAGAGCGAACGGGAGGAGAGGAGAAGAGAGTGGTTGTCAGTTTGGTGTGACTTGCCTCTTTCAAAAACAGGAATTAATCCAATAATCGCTTGGAAAATGCTTTGCATATTTCTTCATTTTTTTCTCACGCACATAACCGACTATCATCTGGTACAAGTATGCTTGAGACCTGTCAAGACCTTGGAGTCACACACAGAGAACAACACATCCCATGGCTGTAGGGTTATTGCACATGAGATGCAACCAGAGTTGAAGAACCAGAGTCTTAAGTTTATCTGCTGCTTATTTTAAGTGCTGCTCAGTGTCACACATGTCAGTCCCCTTGCTATAGGCTTTCCTGCTCAGCACTCAATGCTAAAGAACACACACTTCAAACCTTTAAGAGCCTCAGTCAGTAAATGAACTGCCAGTTATGAAGAACAGAGGAGAAAGACGTCTTATCCCAGAGAAGTGATCCATTTATCATCGTTTCTCCAAATTTCCTTCAGCCTATGAACAGTTGTTCCTCATCTTGCCAACTGTCCCATCATCTTAAGGTTTCTGCCTTAACACTTATATTTATTCAGGTGTCTTTTTTTTAAATCAATAAATGTGTGGTCTTAGGGTTCTTGGGAAGTGGGAGTGAAACACAGACACAAACGGTAGCAGATGCACACAGGCTGCAAAGTCTCATGGTACTCCCCAAAGGCACTTTAACACAGATGGAAACATACATAAAAACAAAAAGGAAATCTTGAATCTAAAGAGGGACAAAATAAATAGATTTCATCTGATGGCAACACTCTAATCAACTAACTATTCTCACCTCTGGTTGCTGTAGAAAACCTTCTCAAAGCATGATAATTGAGCTATACAGCACCATGTTCATTACTTCAAAACCTGTCTTTGCAAATGGATCTGAATGTATTTTGAACTCATGAACCATCAGCATTTGGTGTTAACACTTCCACCTTCCAGCATCGCTTAAAACTAAAAAGCCTGCGCCAAGAGCACAAATAACACTTCAGCTTTTTACACCCAGCCTCTGATAGGGCACGCCGCTAGAAAATAAGACTCTAATGAGCCAGAGACACTTTCAAAAGCGGCAGGTGATGAAACATTCACTGCTACAACTAAATGTATCTTAGCAGGAAAAGGTTTCCGTGATTCTAATTGTGTGAAAACAAACACGAATCTAAAGTGTGGAAGGATTAAGCTGCAGTCTTTTAAGAGTATCAAAGTAAAACACTATACCCAAGGTCTGACAATTACAATACAAAAATGTCTTTACTGAAGAGCAGCGAGCTCTTTCCAGCCGCTACCTGCAGGATTAGCTCTCTTCCCTGCGGTTTTAGTTGAGGTACATTCTGTCTTTAACACGGCTGGTTACTTGTTGGCCTTTTCTCTCCTGAAATATCTACCTTCCTAGCCCAAGGGAAAGCTTACCTTTCCCTTAATGTGTGAGGAATCATTTTGTGACAAGAGTTGCTCCCAGCGTACACAGCAGACAGAGGAAATAAAGGTCAAAGTTCACATGGAGTGAGGCAGGGGTCAAGCAGAGGAAACTGATCCCAATTATTTAGCTAAGTGTCCAATTGAGAATGGCATTGTATTAACACTGTTTTTAACCAAAGACAGAGAAACAGAGAGTGTATTGAAAGACAAACCCTATTTTTGACATCTTCCATGATAGGATATGCACACATTGGGCTTCCTCTCCTTCTCTTGCTATGAGTGAGAAGAAGATTATAAGTTAGCTGCCACTGCGGCTGGTGAGCAGAGCTGGAGTCTGGACCGGGTTGGTTTCCTCCCAGATTTGGGGTAGATTGGGGATTTCAAAGTCAAGCAAGTTCAAAGGCTTGAGTGGGGAACGTTCAAAAGAACCACAGCCGGCCATGAAGTGGAGAGGAAAGGAGGGGGAGAGCTAGCTATAGCTACTTACAATAAACTCTCCCACAGTCTGAGGAGAATGCACTGCCAGACAGCGGTGTAAAGAGTAAATGCTAGTGAAAATAAACACCTTGTGGGTTCAGTCTTTGCGAGGTGCTGAGAAGGTGGAATTTTGCTAACATGTCGGTGAAAAACTGAAAGTGTGTGCCAAAGTTTTGGTAGCATAAAACATTCAGAATGTGAGATGACATTTTCACTGAATCACAACATCAGATGGGATTTTGCTCTACTTTCAATGTTAACAATGTCATGTTTCTCGCATCACACACACAAACAAGCCTGAATGTGAGACCATGACATCTGCTTCTGCTTTGAAAAAGAACATCAACCTTTAAACACGCATCTAAAAGGACTTAAAGTGCCATGGTAGTGCTTTCTCTACTTTTGTCTGTGTGCTACACAATACCATTCATTGACGCCATAGCGATCAAACCAATACCCTTGCAGTCTGGGACGGGACAGAACATATCCCTGGAATTTACACAAAGTAGATGACTTTGCAGATTTACAGTATTAAAGGATCATGTCTTTGACTAGGATATTTCCTTTTTAAAAAGTAAAAAGATCCATCAAATGATCCACAACATCAAGCGGCATATGTGATGTTATATTATATTTTCAGTTAACTGAATTTCCCCTAAACACCGGAAAAATAGCATAGCCTGGAAGCCAATTTCAATTCATTTGTATTTGCCGTTTGTGAAAACAACACTATAAAAACACAAAGAGAATCAAGAAGTGTTTGCTGTTATCACTGATATGTAGTATTTCCCCCCAGTATACCAGTTAGCATTATTCTGTTGATTGGTTAATTTTAGCAATAGGGATGCTAATTTGCAAAGTGATCATCATAAGGCCAAACCAAATTACAGAGTACAATTGTGTTCCCAAATTCACATCCTGAACGAGTCTGTGAGAGTGGAATATTACTCACAGAACCATTACAGAAATTGTACTTATGCTAGTGTAAAATGTGTTACGCCACAAACACTGAACATGTTTTTATGTTTGAAATAGGGTGCATAAAGATGTATGTAAATACACTAAAGACAGACACAATTGAGGTAAAGTTTTTTGGCCAGCTGATGCGGCTGGCTGCTTTAGGTCTTTAGTGGGGGAATTAGCTCCAGCTAGTGCCCCTCTCTGTTGTTTTTCAGCCTGATTCAGCAGTCCTGGACTTTACGCAGAGCCTCTGAAAGCTCAGTGGCCACGGGGAATGCCAGCTCATCGACTATTATAATGACGGCCTCCCTATTGCTCTCCCGTCTCTCTCTGCCCTTCTCACCAGCGCACTGTCCCAATTGTCTCTGTCACTCTTTTTGTTTGCCATCTGTCTTTCTGTCCTTATTGCTGAACAAAGGCTGGTGTGAGTGTGTATGATGCAATTGTGGCAGTGCTGAAAGTTCACAGTCAACAGAAATGCACTGAATGAACATCCCCATGGTAGGAATGGACTAAAGACTTTGCTCTTGGCAAACTGTAAACATAGATATCATACTGAATGCTGCAGGCTATAAAGGAGAATAAGCTCCAAGCTCAACTGTGTCTCAACTCTTTTTCTATCAAACGTTGTGCCAGATGGTGACTTACCTTAACAACATAAAATAGGAGCAGTACACAGAAATGCTTGCCGATTTGACATTATCGCACGCTTTGTAAACTGGAAACGGCACAGAGGACTAACCTTGAGCTTATCGAAGCGCTCGGTGAGCGAGGACACCTGGTGCTCCCGGTGGCGCCCCACCAGCTTGCAGAGGGCACAAATGAGCTGGTCGTCCACCAAGCAGTACATGTTGACCTTCTCGTTCTCGTGCTCCAGGCAGGTCAGGCCGCGGAGGTGTGTGTCCAGCACCGGCTCCACCAGGCGATGGCTGGTGAACGGCTTCTTGTTGGGGTGCGTTGCGCGGAGGCAGCGGTCGCAGTACGACACCTCACATGTGACACACGTCTTCACGGCCTCACGCGGCGGATCCTGCTCACAGAACTGGCAGCTGATGCGTGGATCCATTTTCGCAACGACAGCCGGGCTGTGGTTTGCGTTGGTGTGGTTGGCGTGATTAGTGTGGTTGGTGTGGTTGGCGTGCGGGTGGGAGTGGCTGGAAGTGGCCGGGCTGCTGCGGGCGCTGCTTCCACTCGTTCCACCCCCCCCGCCGCCAATCGTTCCAGCTATCGTCCCGCTAATGGTGGCGGTGTAGGGACGCTGCGGCGGCTGCAGGCGCCGGCTCTCAGTGGGAGAATTAGGGCTGCTGATGGAGGCCTTTTGAAAGCGGTCAATGATGTTCTGCAGCGTCACATTGCGCTTAAGGCCCTCCAGGCCGCGGTGATTCAGCGTGATGACGTAACGACAGGTGGGGCACTGAAAGGCCGATATGGACTCGAGGGGCTTGCTGGTGGAGCAGTGAGACACCAGGATGCGGTGGGCGCAGTTAAAACACAGGCTGTGGGCGCAGGGCAAGAGAAGGGGGTCTTCAAACAACTCAAGGCAGATCGGGCAGGTCAGCTCAGACTCCAGTGTTTCCATCTTCAGTGAAACCAATCTAGAGGTGACATCAAAACCCACGAAAGCTGGCGAATGACCTGCATAAAGGAAAAAAACATGTATCAGTTTATAAAGTTCCACACTTGTCAGATCTCTTATTACAGTAACAAAACTGTACTTTTGTTCATGGACTATTTGTTATTAAATAAAACAGCAGGAAGTATACATGACACAATTTGTCCATTCACCCCTTTCTGAATTTAACTCAACCAGTCAAGAGATACCCTTGCAGATTCAGCAAAAACCTTACTTACACATTTTTTTTAACAATTATATATCAGCCGCTCAGCTTGCAAAACTGAGGACTGAATGTCCAGGGACTCACGAACAGGGAGGAAAAACATAAAGGTACGTTGAAAAGTAGGGAAGGAGTAAAAATCCTTCTCCTGCTCAACACTGACTTTGTTTATTTTATGTGGCCTCTATAGCTTGGCTTTTCAAGCACTCAACACTTAACTCCAAGGGCATTTCAACTTTTAAAGCATGATCCCAACAATAATTTCAACTAGGGCAGTGAAAAAAGGGCCTGAGCTAAACAAGAAGATTGATTTCACCTCCTACACCTCTTTCTCCAAGCCCTCCCAATCTCATCACCTTGTAGGTTGCATATCAAGCTGTCTCCCCTGGGTGGCCTTAAAACCACTGACATGAGAAATCACCAATAACCCCTCCGCCCCACCCGACCCACACACTCGCTGATTCAGTGGCTTGCATTGGCCCTCTATCCTTTAAAGAAACAAAGCAGGCACCGTGAAACGACGGTATTAAAGTGGGCAGCCCCAGATAGCTGACACTGATCATTTCATTAGTTGAGGGTGTTCCTGAAATACTGACCTTGTCTGTCTCTGAGCCAGTCATGCAGGATTTACTGATGACTGGCTGTTACAGGTTGTGAGTAATCAAAAAGTGATTTTCACCTTTAGGTCAGGGTTTCAACTTCTGTCAGTAAACTCTTTATATGAGGGCATTGTGTAGATAAAAATGATATTAAACTTGCAGCGGTAAGTTAACAACGTGTAATCAAGTAAAGTGAAGCAAATACAAGGACACAAGTACAATTTCAAAGTGTGGAAGTGCTGAGCATGACATTTGTTAGCTTGAGTGTCAACAAGCTGATGTATTCATTAACTGTTTTTAAATTACAAAAAAAAGCCTTACATTCCAGTAGCTGAATGATATATATTTTTTTCCCTTGAAAAATAACAAAATCAAAATATCGGCCGAATGGAAATGTGTTTAGCCTGTGAGCGAAGATTTTCAACATCTTAACTACACTGTATGTACGTATGACTAATAAAAGCCTTGAACCATAAAAGCCTTGAACATATGAGTTGGTCCTTCTATTAAATGCACTGTATGTAACTACTCATATCATTTAGCTCTGCAATTCCCATCCAATTTCTAACGACGACATTTTCGTGACCTTATGCTCACTTGTTAGTGTGGTTTTAGGTGCATTGATAACTTCCCATGATCTCTATGAGCATTTAAAGACAAGCTGTAGACAGAACTATATGAAGACAGAAACAGAGCTCAAAGGCTCAAGCTCATTTGCACAAACCAAAGTCTCCTCCCTTCTGCCGCACCACAAACAGTGCCTCAACACCGAGCTGCGTTCAAAGCAAACATGATTTGTACAGCAGCTACTGTAAGTGCTTGGAAAGGCAGCCAACTGAAGAAAGTAGTTGCATGCATGCAGTGGCTCCTTTACAAAATGCATTATCTGAAAAGGAAACAAATAACTTCTCACAGCCTATCATAAAGATTTTAACCTGATAAAACGCAATGGGCATTGTGTGTGTGTTTGTGTGTGGCTCTATACGAGTATACATTTTTAGGTGTTTGTCGATGAAAGAGCTGGGTTTTGTCTGCACATAATTTCCTCCACTACTTTTACATTGGCTGCTATTTATCAGATGCTTTATGTTGTTGTTGTTGTTGTTGTTGCAAAGTCTGGCTGGGTCAGGGATAAAGAGAGATACAGAGTCAGAGGCAAGCCACCACAGAGCGAGCAAGCATGAGGTTCTGCTTCATCACGCCAACAATAGGTCTTATTTATCTCCACCGTATCAGATAGTTGATAACGAGGAGCAGACGAATGGAAATAACCAGAGAACCAGGATGTGGGGGAGGTGATAAGGGGCGCAAGGACAACCTTAATGACCTTTTGATGACAAGCAAGGCCACGCGCCGCTGAGGCTTAGCACCTTAGGTTATATGATATATATTTCACATAAACCTCTAGCCCTTACACTTTATTTAAGGTTTTCATTTCATTCAATCTGCAGCCCGTTCCACAATGGATACTTTTCAACAGCCACAAAGACTACTAACACAGATTTCTGTAGCTTCTACTACTATTTAAAAACATCTGTAAGATTAAACAAGTAAATTATGTTAAAGTATGTATTTTTTCACAAAAAATGAATTCCCTGTCAAAGATCCGCTTTAGGTTAGCGCCATATGAATGTGGGGTCAGTGGGAAAATATGTCAACAAAAGGAAACATGACACACTCTCAGGATACACATTGATAAAAGATCATCAGGTCATTTACAAGAATGTGAACTCTAGTCTGGAATCACGTAAAGCCTATAAACAAAAAAATTACGTAGCATGAAAGACAAGGAATACAATTCAAGTCAATCAAAACTTACTTATTGCACTTCAGAAATACTTTTTCTACCAATCCTTCCTCTTTGTTTATCAGTATTTGACAAATACAACAAGGAAAGTCCCACTTAATCCGTTTTCCATAAACCACATGTCATTTAAGCATATATGCTGTGGGATTATACATCCATCAAGAGAGCAGAATAATAATAATAAGTAAACAAATAGAGACACCTCAACAGAATTACACGCTTCAATATTAAGCCTATCCTATTAGTAGAGATGAGTTCATGACCCTTATCCCTGATTTGTTCAAATGCAGACTGAATCAGCTGTCTCACTTTACTCCCCGGGACAGAGCTCAACAGTTCGGCTTCTGCTGATGTTAATGTGACTGTGTGTAATGGAGCGTGGTGTTATAATTAACACCACGCTTTAACACACCATCAGCAGGCCCATTAAGCTTTAGCTATGTCACTCTGGGGAGACAACGGCAGCTGAGCCACTTGGGGTGTAAAACGCTAGCTTCAATGTGAAGGAATTTCTTCTGCAGACAGGCTTGAACAGACACACACACTCAGACATTCACAAAAAAAGAATACACACACACAGCCAGAGCTGCACATGTACCAGCAAAAACTCTATCAGTCTCTTTGTCTCTCTTTATCATTCCTGCTAAGGTGAAATGTCCCATCTGGAAGGAGAACAGATTGGGCGGTTGCTCGAGGAACACACACAGTCACACACAAACCCAAGCAGAGACACACATGGACACACACACATAAGACTGCTCGGCACTCGCTCTGATCTTTTGTCGTGCCGATTAATGTAGAAACATTTGTAGGTCTCACTCAGAGCTTTTTTTGCCAAACCAATGAAAAGAAAAACAGGGACATCAGTGATGAATCATAAGTGTGTCTGAGGTGCACACACACATACACAAACTCACACTTCAGTGAATTATAATCTGTTTATGCTTTTTACTTTTAGTCTGACATCATTTTAAGGTGCAAATCCACATTCATAGGCAGAAAGCCATTTCAGCGAATGGCTTTGATGACAGTAATACATTCAAATGTAGCACACTGATGAAGTGGTTTGTCTCACCCGGTAGGCTCCTTTATTTGAAAAGTAAATAATCCCTTTTCTTCTTTTAAAGATACCCGAGCTTAAGGGCCATCAGTATATTCAAAATGTGAAAATATATGTGAATTGTAAAAGAAAAAGCAGACATTATATTTGTTTGGGACCCTGCTAATTCCAGGATCTAAAAGTGTTCATTCCAAAAGTTACATCGATGATGCTTGAAATGTTTGTTTGTGATTGCTATATATTCAAGACTTAAATGTGCCGTGGAGAGCAATGAGCAGTGACACTAAGTAACTCAGATCCTTAGCAATACATCCACCAAATGTGAAGTTGATCTGATTAATCATTGTTAGTCATTAGATAAGTGCGGCAGCAGTAATGAATTCCTCTACCAGTGTATGATACTTGACCCTGGGGAAAGGCCCAAAATAGAAAACACTAATGTCACAGTTTGTGCCATTTCATAATCTTGCAAACATGGAGACAATAAAAGAGGCAGATCCCCTTGGTTTATTCTTGCATGTGTGTGACTTCACTTTGTTGACGCAAGCATTAGTAAAAGAAAAGGCATTTATGGAACAAAGATGATTATCCTTGTATAAACAATCCACTTGTTAAAACCAAATGAATCCCCCCTGAATTATAATCGCACAGCTGCAGAGTCAAAACAAGAGTTTAATGGACATTTGATGACGGTGGGATAAACAAATAACCCTACCTCGACTCTCAACCAAGGACACAAGTGCACTCGCATTGCAGCAGTGACATTTAAATGTACAGGAGCCTTGTCAAGAGCACAAAAGTTCAATTTTGTTATGTTTCTGTTCAGTAATGACGCTGACTGTATTTGCTCTTTGTATAATCGGAAATCAGTATTTAATGTACCTTTGCATGTGTTAAAGAGCTCAAAAGCTTTATTAAAAAAATCCCATTTCCAATACATGTGGTTTATATACAGAACAGTATGTCCTGATCAATTGTATTATGACTCACTACCAAAAAGGCTCTATTCCTATAGGATCATGAACATCAAATGTAATCTAATATAAACTAATCTAATCCAATCCACACAACAACAAAAAACACACAAAAATATTTTCCTTTTAACCTTTAAACTGAAAATGTGAAACATGTTATGTGCCGATACTGACTGGACACAAGCAATACATTCTACTTTCTTTTCTCAAAACATTTCACTTCAAAGATATGAAGGACATGCTGAGGTGCAACCAGAGGCAGATGTTAGGCATCTATCAAAGAGACGTGTTCCCTGGGTGGAAAGCAGAATAAGTGATTACTTCCAGGAATGGTTATGCTTCAGTCAGTGCAAGGTGG